TCTGGTAGTGTGCGAGGAGGTCGACGTATCGCCGAAGTGGGCTTGTGGATTTGATGTAGGCGTCCAGGCCGAGGGGAATATGTGGGATGGGGGTCGATGAGGAGATACCCTTGGGGGCTGTGAGTTGCAGCCATCCTTCTCCTCCGTATTCAGCCATGTTTTCGTTCGTTAGTCTCGGGTATTCGGGGTGATAGCATGTTCCGTCGTAGACTGCTGGGATGTTGCGCTCTGCGCACCATTTCCCAGAGATCCAACAAGCGAAATTCATCAAGGTCGAGATGAGATTCCGCTTTGTGAGGTCAGGTACTTCGTGGGGGTCGATGTCCTGCAAGCGCAGCTGGATGATTGGATCGCCCAAGTAGTAGCGGCCTTTGCTGATATCCATGTTGTAGGGTTTCATAGGCGCCATCCCTGCGAAGACAGAGACAGAATTATCAGCAGGCGATGGCCACTCCATGGCCCCGTTTTTGAGCCGGTATTCACGAAATGCCAGCATCAGTTTACGCAAGGTATGGAAAGCGCGCTCGTCTTCTGGTGCTAGCGAGCTCTGCAACTCTTCCCGAGAGTGCGGCTGCGTAATAGTGCCCCCCACCGTCAGGGTATCCGAAGATCCAGTGGTTGGTTCAAAAAGACTACGCAGCTTGTCGTGCGTGATATAGATTACGTTTCTGACGATGCCATTGGCGATTTTCGTTTCCAGGACTTCACCCTGCAAATTCATCTTGGCACTGAACGTGAGCGTAGGGCGACCAGGAGCCAAACTGAAATGGCTCTGTGTCAATGAGCTGGGCAGCATCGGGTATGTGCGCTCCGGAACGTAGRGGGTCTGATTACGCACGGCAGCGTATTCCATGATGGAGCTGTCAGGTTCGACAAATGCGGAGGGATTGGCAATGTGGATGTGTATCCAGAAAGTGTCATTCGAGCTTGGAATAGGCTCCAAGGACACTCCATCATCGATCTCTTGCGCGTCAGGATTGTCCACGCAGTAGACTGGCAGATTACCAAAGTCAGTCCGCAGGCTCTGCATTTTATCTGATAGCCCTTCCGATTTGAGCCTCTCGCACACTTGCTTGACATCCTCCCACATAGCATCTGACCTGCGCGAGACACCGTGTCCAGGAAGAGCTAAACTCTGGTCGAGTAATCGCAAATTCTCCCAAGGAGATAACACGCCCAATTCCTGTAAGAAAAGCTTGACGGTCGCTGCGTTCAGCTCGAGAGTGGTATACATTCCAGTAGCGCGCATGATGTGGGAACCAGCCGACCTCAATGACCCGGAGTTCATTCTCCTAGGAGGTATGCACCATAGCAACAGATATTCTATGATCATTCGATCGGTGTCATTGAACTTATCGGTGAGCATTTCGCAATACACCATGGGCTTTCCATCCTGTCCAGGTGCGAACCGGTGTGCCGTCGGACCAACGCTCGCCATGATCGTCGGCGACCGCACTTTCCTGCTCACCCGTATGAGACGCTGGGCTTTTTGCAGGAATTGTTGCAGAGGATGGTCCTTCATATTGGACTTCTCCTCTCCTATTACCCTGCCTGTCGCAGATCGGACGAGGTATTCTTGATGTTCATGTACCCAGTTGGTGACAATATCGAGGAGTCCGGCAACTCGTTTCGGTTGCACCAGGTAATGATTTGTGAACAGCGAACTTCGATCATTCTCAATAATAAACGAGTTCCGGCGGATAGCCTGATGCACAGCGAATAAGATCGTATCGTCCAAGACCTCCTCCTCTATGCCCAAGGCTTTACACGCCAGTTCTTCCAGTGTGTATTCTAGCTTCTCTTCCTCGTCTGCGACAATTTCATGTATGTTATCAAGGAGATGCGCATGGTCTCGGTAGACGTCTTGGATCTTTGCTTCGAAGTCATTGATCCTTTGCAAGAGAGGGGCACCAACAGGTCTCGGCACTCCACCTTCAATGGCTGACTGCATTTCAAAGCTCATTTGAGCCATTGTGTCCGGAAAATGTGGCAGAAGGGGAGTGACCAATTCTGGAGGAGCGAATCCCTTCACGACATAGTCCAGATCTTTGCTGTGAGCAATTCGCCATTTCCCTCGCTCTGTATAGAACTGTTGCTGCTTGTGAACGGATCGGACGTAGATCGCAAAGCTTAAAATGCCGTCGACACTTCGAGAGAAGCCAGAGTTAGTGAATCCAAGCACTAGAGAAGAAGAACCTATGCATTACTCACGTAGAAAGAGCCACCAAGTCCCCTGGCTGGAGGAATTCATCTACTCCCTCTCCTTCGTCCCCGATATTGTGAAATTCCAAGCTCTCCTCGTCTGCCTCGCGTAGCACATCACTACCAGCATCAAACGCCTCCTTGCTGTCGTTTAGCATGTTTCCCACCCAAGGAGCCGAGGGATCTAATGTGCTTGCCGTCCCGGGTCCTCGGACCGGGTCCAAGATGTTCGGGTGCGTCTCCTGCCATTTGCGCAGATAATTCCGAATGTCTTTGTTCTCCTCGAACTCGGTTTTCAGAAGGATATCCTCGATGGAGGTAGTAGTCTGCTGCGTATCCTGCCCAGCGGTGGGAGACTATCAGGATTTCTATCAGAGCAAGCCAATCACACATTCTCAGCTAGTACTCACCTCAACATTCGTAGCCAACGACCGTCGAGTGAGGCATGGACAATTCGATATGCGCCCCAAGCGACTTGTGTGTTTAGTCCCAGTTATAAGGCGGTTTCGCTTCAGCAGATGGCTCGCCCCGATGACCCCACGGGAAATGTACGACTTTTGTATCAAAAAAGACATCTCCAGGAATCAGCACATAGTACAACTGAAATCTCCCCTGGAGATTCAAGGAAGTGTCGGGCCATCATTTGCTTGACGCCGTCGAAAACTTGTTGCATTTTGCCGGCCTGATCTCACCGCCTTGGCGGTCGCAGTCGTGTTCCAACCAATACTTCATCGTTTCCCAGTTGATGCAACTCCGTTCTTCACATTTTGGACGGAGTATCTTCATCCGGATATTATCCCAGTCAGTATAGGGTCTAATATCTGTAAATCATAACGGTATTTCATTTTCTACACAACCCCCCCAAAGGTATAGTAGCGTAGCAGCTATACCTGAACCTTCGCATACCAGAACTGCGGCTGTCTGGCTCTCTGGGTTGGTTCAGGCATCTTCAGGCTTAGCATCTTCCGTGGTCCATGCCTGCTTAGTCAGATAGGGAGCGCTAGCGGCTTGCTGGCTATCCAGCCCCCTCTGCGCACTGAAAAGCGGATGCCAGCACTCAGAATCGAACCTGGGGTCTTCAGGGTCAGGAGGCGTCAATCGTGCCTGCTGGTAGGGCTTCCGGGCTCATAACTGTCAAATTATAATACCACTAGGCCAAAAGGGTATCCGGATATTATCCCAGTCAGTATAGGGTCTAATATCTGTCGATCATAACGGTATTTCATTTTCTAACATCTTCGCTGCCGATTCTGCTCGGATTTCTATCTCTATGGAATAATTTACAAGGAGATCTGTGGTCCTCCCAGAGGCTCAACCCTGCGCGACCTACGAGGCTTCTCCTTACAGGAACTGGTCTTCTGGTCTTCTGCTAAACAATGGTCCAGGCGTCATACCTTTTCCAATGGGACCGAATCCGATAGTGACAGTATGGTAGTGTATCATACTCATTGAAGACCAGCAGCTCGATCTTAGGCAAGGGACATCGATGAAAGGCTCGATCCTGTCACCATCCCACGGGACGACTTCGTTGTCTCAGTATTCAAATTCTCAATCTTGTGTCACGGACTCACGGTACAAATGGGTATGCAGTCCTTCACAAAACAGGGAAACGCGATGGCCAAGGCTCTAACAGGCTTGCCAATCATTTTCTCTACGGCCTAACCGAATCAACCGGGTGGTCTATCACTCTCTATCGCTAGCTTATGGCGTTTCCTTAGTACTAGCTACTATAATCTATCATCCAACGGCACCGCGTGATCTGCGCCGGGCCTGCCAGGGATGCAAATTCTCCGCGGTTTCCCCGTTGCCCAAAAACGGGGAGTCGAGAGACAGTCAAAAGTTGGGCCGAAAGCTACTGCAATTCTCCAGATACCTCGCTTAAGCCATTCGAGTCGTACTACTCATCAGGTGGTCGATCACTCCGAAAATAGCCCTCTACATGGCGACATGACAAACTCATTGCAGGCTTCCGAAGGTGCGCTATTGATCACTGGGATTGCAGACTTGCCTTACGCTGGACTGCACAATTTCCTATCTGGTAATGGAAGCTTGCTTTGATGTGGTGACCGTCCTTGGTGTATCCCTGTGGTATTAACGAGCGAACTATTGCTTAATATGTACCCTACCCCCTGTCTTGACAATCTTCACGGATACTACGTTTGTTCGTGCATGGCACTGTCCTTACCATGGCCGATCTTAGGCTAAATCAATACATAATCCGACCACTCGATCATTGTGACCCAAGTGAAGCTGTGCCCTGTTGATCACGAAGCTAGATTCCAGCATCCTCCGAATACTCCGTGCGGATAAGGTGCAAGCATCAAATTACCGCGGGACTGACGTTCTCTGTGATTTCGTATCCGCTAACATATTGATCGGATATTCTGCAATGTCTTCTTGCAGACATGACGCGCTCGCCTTCTATTGCGAGGCCTCTATCATGGAGGAGAGTTGTCCCAGCACGTGCAGAATGATTATATCAAGAACCGTTCAACATCAAAGCCTTCGAAGATGTTAACCGTGCTTTGTTGCCGAGGATGTTCATTTGTCTGTCCGGTCACCCCGTGGCCTCTCGCATTGCTTTCTGAAAATGGATGGACGACGAGTCTTCCATAGCCCTTTTTGGAATAGAAGTTCCCTTGTATTTTCTAAGACCAAGCCCCTCTCCACGCTCCTTTTGTCAATCAACGAGTATAAATACATGAATCATTGTGCGTTGTCTGCCATGATGCTTTCCCCAGAGACTCCAGATTGCGTTTGGTGTTCTATAAGTTGTTTTAAGCCTACAATCCACCATCATGACTCTAGGTCAGCCATGGCGCACAGCTGTAGCAATATCCGTGGTGGCTCTTGCTCGTCTTGCGGCTGCAGATATCTGCTCGGGGATCAAGCAAGAGGGCATAGAGATCGAAAAGCCGCTCAGTCTCGACTACGACAACGACCTGACGAAATATTGGTCTGCTGCATGTGGAGACCTGAACCCGACATGTATTGTTGCTCCTTCGAGCGCCCTGGGGATGTCGGCGATTGTGAAGCAACTGCACAATGTTGACGACCTCTTCGCTGTGAAGTCAGGCGGGCATATGCCCAACAATGGCTTCGCCAGCATTCAAGATGGTCTTCTCATCTCGACCAAGAACCTTGATCAAGTTATCTACAATCCCGAAGACCAGACTGCTATCGTCGGTCCTGGCCTTTCGTGGGAAGATGCTCAGAAAGGTCTCGATGGTACTGGTCGAGCACTCGTTGGTGGACGTCTTGGTGGCGTGGGCGTCGGAGGATATATGCTCGGAGGCAAGTTGCAGCCCCCTGCGATGGTTGACATTCGGCTGATTCAGCTAGGCGGATTGAGCTTTCTGAGTTCGCAGTATGGCTGGGCAGCCAACAACGTAGTCAACTTTGAAGTGGTTCTTGCCAATGGAACCCTGGTCAATGCCAACGTGAAGGAAAATACCGGTAAATAGAGCAGAATGCACGATTCGCTTGCAAGCTGACCTGGGGGTAGATCTCTTCGCGGCTCTTAAGGGAGGCGGTAACAACTTCGGCATTGTTACTGCATACACTCTCCAGACACATCCTCAAGACCATAAGGTAAACCGTGTCCAGTTATATTTACATGAGATATTCTAAATAGCACAGGTATGGGGAGGAAACTATATCTTTACAGCCGATAAGACGCCTCAAGTCTTGAGCGCTCTTCGTGACTTCACCGAGCATTATCCCGATGACAAGGCCGCTATCATTGTGACTTGTGAGCATGGCTTGTTGATCAACACATGGATCATGTTCCTCTTCTACGACGGGCCTAAGCCACCAGAGGGCGTTTTTACCAATTCTACAGCAATCGGACCTACCGATACTACTAAAACCTGGGACAGCTATTATGACTTGGTTAGTAACCCTGCCGTCAGTCATCTGGAGTAGCTTATCTCATATTGAGACAGCTTAAAAACAATGATGTTTTCATTCTGCAGTAAGACGATCTTCCTAGTATTCGTGTTCGGCTACTGACTTTGATTGCAGTGGCCAACGGTATACTATTGCTACTGAGACTACTCCTCTGCCGAACAAGACCGTCGGCGCAGAGGTGATGCGAAGATACTACGACCACTGGTTTAATGTGACGGACACTCTACTTGAAGTGCCCAACATGCTCGGGTCAATTGCATTTCAGCCAATGCCTCGAACTATCACCAGCAAAGCCAAGGCTAGAGGAGGGGCAAGTCCTGGAAGCATTCATATCATCTAGAAAATGCGCTAACAACCCGGAAGGATCTTCTCGACTTCCCCACAGATCAAGATTCAAGACTATATTATCATTGAGCTAGACTTCTCCTACGCTTTTGCGGCAGACGACGCTAAGATTGATGCTGCCAATCAGAATCTCTATGATGGCTTTGATAACATTATCAGCGAAAATATTGACAAGGGACTCTTGCCTGATGTTTACCGGCCACTTTTCATGAACGATGCGTACTTCCGACAGGACTACCGGGGTCGTATCCGCACCAGGGAGCAGGCATTGCAAACCAGGATCAAGTATGATCCAGATGGATTCTTCCAGAAGAGAACTAGTGGAGGATTCAGGCTTCATTGACAGTATGCTAGTTCGAACGATCTTGGATCATTCTTTCGTATATATATAATATATATCTTGAATTTAGGGCTTGTCAAGCTAGACTTTGCCACCAACTAAACGCTTAGAATATGTGTTGAACGATAAACAGCAAAGAAAGCAGATACCAGTGTAATATCCAATATCCTAAGCATTTTACATCACTAACTTGACTGTTGAGACTAAGCTCCCCAATTCGAGCCAAGCAGTCCTCCGGGACCATTTCCCGGCTTGATTGGGCGAAATCGACAGGGAGAAAGGCCAGCGCCTTCGCGGTTCGCTTTGTTCTGTTCAGTTCTTTTTTCTTCTTCTATGACATTTCTTCTCACCTTTGTTTAGGCCCTGGTGCAGTTTTAGACAACAAAAATAGATCCTACCCCTCGCCATGAAAGAGCTCAAGCAAGCTCCCCCAACACATCGCTCTGATTGGCTTCTAGACAATGCAGAGTCAAGCCATGAAACGAGACATTTTCATTTCTCTCTCACAATAGATCTTCCAAGAGCCTCAGGAACGCCTCCCCTTGTCGCTGTATCAGGTTGAATTAAGCTCACCGGGCTGTTGGCTGAGATTCCCCTGGCGGAAGACAATGCCTTTTCTCCAAGCGCCGGGGTGGAGAACAGAGCGTGTACATCCCGTCCCCATCCTCCCGTTGACTCTACATCCCAAATCCAGAGCTGAAAGGCTAGAGTCATACTGGGGGCTCGCGCCTTGCCGCTTATTTCATATATCTCAGTCGGTGGTCTAGATCAAGACGATGATGGCGTCCAACGTCGACGAGTAGTGCTCCGGGCGCTTGAACGGATCGACGCTTTTGACGCCTCGCGCATGGGAAACCGCCCGTCTGGGACAATGGGGCTGGGTCTAGATTCTTGGAGATGCTAAATTTATTCTTGGTGACAGTTTGTTGAGACTTTGAGGTTGAGGATGCTTTGTTTCGGGGAGCGCAGCGTTGTTATAAAAGGGTTATTGTCTGCCGTGGGGGAATGAGGATATCAGATCAGCTCTTTGTCTTTACTTGTGTTGCATTATATCACCGTTCTTCAGAGATATAATCTACATTCCTTTGGATTTCATATTTCGCTTTGGGTCCTATATTATACATTCCTTCCGCAACTGGTCGTGTTCTCCATCTTGACAGACATCCACTACAGAGATATCATTTGTTCAATCCCTACATAATCAAAATGGGAAAATACGGCGCACTAGGTGCAACCTTCCGAATCGCCCGGATCGTCCAAGCCTGCTCCCTCATCGCCATCATAGGCCTAACAGCCAACTTCATCGCCGAGATCGTCTCCAAGAACGCAACACCGCCGAGCGTCTTCATCGGCACAATCACAGTGGTACGTTAGCCCTCATACCCACATCCCTCATCTCACAGAGCTAACAGAGGTTGCTCAGACCTGCATAGCCGTCATCTACTGCGCCATCTCCTTCATCCTCTTCCTGGATGACATCCTCCCCTTCCTCGCGAGCGCCATCATGGACGCACTGGTGCTTATCGCCGTTATCGTCGTGGCGGTCATCATCGGGAAACCACTCTCGTACCTCGAGTGCGATGTGATCGGGGATTTGACGGGTGATGGATCGTCTGCGTATGCCTTTGCCACGAGTCTGGATAACTATCTGGACCATCTGGGCGGGAAGGTCGATTACAAGAACTGGATTGCGGCGTCGAGGGGCGTCTGTCTAGAGGCGAAGTCGATCTGGGGGTTGAGCATTGCTTTGTGGTGAGTTTCTATCTTCTTTCCCCCCGCCTCTTTCTCGAACGACCGAGCTGATGGATGAATGCTGTAGTATCTTGTTCTTCTTTTCGGCGGTCTGCTGCGTCTGTCTCTGGCGGCAGAAGAAGGCGACCGGTGGTGAGAAGCTCGATGGATGAAGGCCTCTTGCTTCGCGATGAGGTATAAGGCATCCTCGACGAGAACAAAGAGCGGTATGACCGGTTGGTAATAATGGCTAATATGATTGGCGTGTCTTTTCTGTTTTTCTGTTCCTGACTTATGTACTGGATCTGTTGCATGGCTTCCTAGCGCTAATATAATCGAAGTATCTGTCTGTTACATATATATCAGCAATCATCACCAATAACCCGAGACCAAAGACATACCTCTCCTCTACACAAAACCACCCTAGGGTATCTAGACATCACATCCTCCCACTTAATCCCAAGTAAACGATACAACACTTCACCCCGAACTAACAGGCGGAATAATCGCGACCTCATCTCCAGCCCCAATCACCACCTCCCCGTCAGCCTCAACATCCACATACTCCTCTCCCAGACTCACCCCACAGCTAACCAGCACCTTGTCCCTGATACCGGGGTATCGTTCCTCCAGGACATCAAAGAGCCTGGACAGCGGAAGAGGGGCGGGGAGCGGCTCGGTTGCTTTATTTGTGTAGGCTGACGCGCTGGAGAAGTAGTGGATCTGGAAGGCTGGTTGTGTTTCTTGGGCGGTCATCCTGGGAGGGTTGTGCTGTGTTGCTGAGGGAATTCGTTTTAAGGGGGCGGGTGAGAGGGCAGGTAAATGCTCGCTGGAATTGTCGGTAAAAATGCGAGAAATGAAACAGGTTGATGCTCTTTCGCTCTATTTTTGCGGTTGTAAGGATTGCTTGCAGAGTGATGAAGGGAAGATTGGAGATGGAAGTGTGCGGGGTTACTCTTATCGCAAGTTGTGACCACACCTCAGCATCACCAAGTACCGTACCTAGATCTAAGAGAGTACAGCGGGGCAGCCAAAGGTTTAGACAAGAATTACAAGTATAGCTAAGAAGTGCAGGCTAATATTCCATTTGCTTCTTATAAGATGTGATGTKATGATCGTTGGGTCATTTATATATATAGATTAGCTACAACCAGTATTTATTTGGTCCCAGTGAGCGCCCTGAAAGCACTCACAAGATCGCTCTTGAGATCCTCCCAGTTCTCCAACCCTACACTGATCCGAAGCAACCGACGATCTATCTTCGCATCACTCATTGTCCGCCACTCGATCAACGTCTCCACCCCTCCAAGACTGGTAGCGTGCTGGAAGAACGAAAGCTTGCTGGGCAGCTTCCGCGCATAATCCTCCTCCTTCATGGTGATGGAGAAAACAGGCCCGAAGCCATTGGGCATCTGTTTCAGTAGCCACTCCTCGTCCTCTTTCTGGAGACTCGCGTGGAAGACTTGCTCGAGAGCAGCCTGCGTGACGGCTTCATCGCTACCCGGTGCGGGATTCTGCGAGCGCAGTGCCTTGTCCAACCACGAGACCAAGTTCGCCGCGTTCGAGCTCTGGCGCTGGACGCGAATCTCGAGGGTGCGCAGACTGCGCACACCGAGCCAACTCTCCATATTACCCATCACGCTGCCCAAGAACAATCGATCCTGGAAGAGCTTCTTCGCCCAATCCTTGCGCTGTGTTGCAAGGACACCGCAGAGAACATCACTGTGCCCGCCAAAGTACTTGGACCCGGAATGCATGACCAGATCAGCACCCCAGATGAAGGGGTCTTGTAGGCCTGGCGGTGCGAATGTGCTGTCGACAACCAGGTAGGCGCCTCTGGAATGGGCCTTGTCCGCGTATGCTGCGATGTTGAAAGCAGTTCCTTGCGGGTTTACGGGCGTTTCCAAGAGGATAACGTCTCCGGCCTCCAACTGCTCGGCGGGGCAGTTGAGATCTAGCTTCTGGAGCCCTGTCAGGCGGCCGAACATTTCGATCACACCGTGGCACCCATGGTAGCCATTACCGATGGCAATTCGCCGAGGATTCAGCAAAACAAGCGCGGCGTTCAGGGCGGATAGTCCCGAGGAATAGCTGATTGCTTCGCCGTTGAGGAGCGACGACAAAATGACTTCGAAACGGGTGGGATTGGGTGCGGAGAGACGTGAATAGACGTGACTGGTCCTTTCTTGATCATACTAGAGTACGAATTGACAATGTCAAACCAAGACCAAATTTGCACGGAAAGGATTAATCAAACTGCTGTGACGTACGCCGCTGAGATCTGTGAGGGGTACCAGTTCGTCCGGATTGTCTGAGTATCGGAAGGTCGTAGAGACATGCAGCGGGGGAGCAACGTCGGTAACTACATTAAGCTCATCATCCGCGTGTAGCGAGCGCGTGGAAGCGCCAATTGCTTGATTGGAATGAGACATTGTGATGTTTCCTAATTACAGCATATTGTGAAGACAGAAAAGAAGACCGTCCCATCGCGCAGCGGGGGAGTCAAATGGCGGACTTGTCGGCGAACCCCACAGAAGGACTCACACGTGACGTCAAAGCGGGCTGGCTGTGGATCTGTATATTGCGTGATAGCCAGATAAGAGAACGAAGGAACACGGCCGATAATAGATGAAAAAAGGGGTATATTGCGATAATGGCAACTGGTACGTCGACTCAATAATGTACATATGGCGAAAGACTTCGTAACCCATGAGTAATCGACCAAACCGGATTACCGCCGAAGGGAGCCCATCTTTGATGGCTCACGGACTGTTCCCGGTACTGCAGCTTGGAAAGCTGAACGATCTATTGATATTGTTAGCGTCGAACGCGACCCTGATACACATGAGAGAGCATACCAGCTTCGGAGTCAAAGGCAATCGTTATATCGTCATGTTCACTGGGATACTCTAGCATATCCAAACAAACAAAGTCCGAAGCGGGATCATCTTCGGTTTTCGGGAGCGCAAACTTGGCGTCAACAAGCCTAATGCAGAATTTGCCCGATCTTCCAAAACTTTCGAGCGTATCCGTGCCCTTGAGTACAAAGTTCATGCATCGTCCATGGTTGAAATCGGCCAAGAAAGCGACCAGCTGTACGACTTTCTCTTGTTGAAGGATTTGAATGCGAGCCAAACTCGCTTCCCACTTTTTGTAGATCGGGACTACCATTCTGCGCCGGGAGATCATAAACGAGGAAGCAATGCTAATGTCTGCAGTGAGCACGAGCAGGTGGCTACCTGGTAGATGGGCGTAGAAGTACATACCCGTCAAATAAAACGTTGAACCCCGTTACAGCTGCTTGGAAAGTATGAAGATCTAGAAAGAATTAGCACGCTGCTGCGCCTAGAGGTCTATCGGAGGACATACCTTTCAGAGACGTAAAGTCAAAACGTCGAACCATGGGCTTAACCATGGCAATCTGCATGAAATTGGCTATTTTGTCTGGCACCTCCGCAGGCACGAGATTTTCGGCTATTGAGACCGTCAAGTCCTGTTGCGCTGGTCTATATAAACTGAGGCTCGTCCTGTTGTTGACGTCCAAGCCTAATTTTAGTTCACCAGGACCTGAAGAAAGAGTCAGTGGATCTCTAGCATCGTTGACGCGACTTGCGCATACCTAAATTCAGGCGATCTGTCACAGAACCCCACTCCGTTGCGATAAAAGCTCGCAAGTGCTCGGATAAGATGGTAGGACCATAGCCATGGTCCACATAAGCACGTTCTTGGTCAATCACTGACACGTTACCGGCGGGAAACTCAAGATGAGCCTTGACTGGCTGGCCATTGAACTTGTCCGCGGGTTGCTCGATACTGTAGGCTCGTAAAGGTATATCCGGTATCTTGAATTCCCGATCCTGCGTAGTCATCCCCAGGAGCAGGGCATGCATGGTGTTTCGGCCCTGGACTTCTTGAAACGTCATCACCATGGACCGACTTCGTCCGTCTTCTTTCACCTTAAGCATGAGCGCGGGAGCTCCATCTTCTCCTCTGAGCAGTCCGAAAATAATCGGGGCCCCATGTCCAATAATATGGCGGACACTGCTCAATGTCTTCACCTTGGGACTGGTAAGTACTGTGAACCGAAAGCCTCGATGAGCGCTCCGAGAGCCCGTGCCTTCGGTAACCGTTGCTGAACGCTCAAATAACCGCAGCCGACAGCGCTCCACAGGTTCCGCAGGAAAAGCCTTGGGAGTCCCCGAGTCCATATACTGGAAGTTCTTCAACGTGTATTCGAAAATGACGGTTTCGCCAGCTTCCGGGTGAAGGCTTGCCTCGGTTTTGAGCGTATATTGGACAATGTTCCAGAGATTCTTGAAATCGTCATCTTGAAACGAGACATCTAATTCGAAGCCACGCGGCAGTCTAACCCGCATTGAATGCGACCTGACATGCCATTCCACGTCATCCCAGGTGGGCCCTTTCTTTCTGTCCGACTGGATCATGACATTGACCAATTCACTTTGGCTTGTAATTGCTGCGAATACGTACCAGTCTCCGCGGTCACGTAGGATAGACAGAGCACATGGTATTGAAAATTGCTCCTGCGAGTCGTCTTCCTTTGAACTGATGCAAGCCTCCACAAACATACTTCCATAGTTGAAATGACGGCTTGTATCACCGAGCGGCATCATCTGAATAGTGCTTGGACCCTTTCCGGAGTTGTCCACCAAAACAGACCTTGTTGCTGCTCCAGATAGTACTGCTGAGACATCAGGGGCGAAACCGGGGTACCTCACCCACACATTCGTGTCAGCTTGGACAGCCGCATCGCCTTCAGCAGCAAGTTCAGAAAGAATATTATTTCTCTTGATTGACATCGCCAGAGAGCGCAAATGACTCATAATCGCTTGGTGCAGGGAAAGACAATCTGCCAGATGTTTATCACCGGTCGTGCTTGCCACAGCAAGAAGTGCATCAATCCCCATAGTACCATATCGAGACAGTTCAGTGTGCTGTGGTACAATGTTCTCACTGATCCACAAGGCTTTGCCAAGGTCCACCACTGCTTGTTTAGCGTTGACCAGGGAGCTCCCCTGGGATGTCCTTCCCCCAGAACCGGGAGAGCGAGATCGGGCGTAAGCTTCAAGCTTCTTCTTCCCACGCAGGAACCACCATACCGCTGCCCGTATCCACTCAGCCAGAGAAATTTCCATCGAAGGCTTCACACTCTCTGCTGCAGCGCGGATTAAAGGAGAATACTGTGCCACGTACGCCTTGAGATCCGTGAAGGCAGCATCACCTACTTGGTTGGCTAAGGATCGTAGGGAAGCTTTCGGTAACTGTGCTCCGTGAGTTGCGTCGCGCTCGTCTCGGCTGACTGGATGATTGTGTACAGGGTCTCGTGGGATCGACTGCGGCTTGGGAGGCGAAAGACTCCGTAGTTCAGGACCAGAGGTGAGAACAGGAGGTAGGTTCAGTTCAATAGGACTCGTTCCGCCCTGTTTGTGTGTGCTTAAGCTCGCGGGACTTCGAAGGGTCAACGCCGGGGGATGATGCTCAGTCTCCGAAACAGGCGGTGTTTCATACAGCGAGTTGGGGCTCTCGGGTGAGACTGCGGCGGATTTCTTCTCAGTGCGTGGCCCATCCTCTTCTGGCGAGGAGGGATAGTCGTGATAACCATGCTGCAGAGCACGACCCTCCTCAGCTTGCATCTTCGCCCGGACACGCTGAGCAAACGAGTTGGACTCAGGTGATGCTCGGAATGAAAGACGAGAACCAGTACCACCAAGATTCAATGTCAACAGAAATTCAGAGTCTTGGGGGCTCTGAATGAGTAATGGCTTCCAGTCCGCTGTGTTCATTCCTTCGCTTGTATCCTTCCGTTGAGGTGTTCTCGCCTGCGATACACCATCCATGGCTCCCAAGGAAGTGTCGACCTGGAGTTGAGGGGCCTTCGAATCATACTCAGTCCGACGCCCGCGGCTCAACGATATTTCCATTGTAGGAGTCTCAGTCTCGTCACCACCTTCCCCTATCACCTCTGGATCTTTATCAGAGAATCGAACCTTGAGGCCCTTTCGCGCACGGGTCTTCCGTGGTGGGGATGGAAAGCTCGTCGGAGGGTAGATTTCGGTTGCGGACGCAGGATTGGAAATTGGAGAAGAAGCGTTCAGAACATCTTGAGCTGAAGGCCATCGATGTGAGACGTCCAGGCGGGGCTTTTGAGGCCCTCGAGCCGTTCCATTGGCTGAATGTAGAGCATGCGATACGGATTTTGAACGAACCGGAGAGAGAAAGGCTTCAATTTGTTGGTCAGTCGTGGACCGATTGATGTTCTTCTCCCTTTCCTTCGAAAATAGCTTCTCTCTCCAATGCGGCTTCTTGACGGCACCCGGCTTGGGCTCCTTTTCCAGGAAAGAAAAAGGGTCCTTTGTAGACATTTTTATCGTTTGTAGACTCGGTAGATCGGGCGGGATGATACTAGAATGCTATAAGCATCGCAAGCGAGATAGATACCAGCACAACAGAAGCTATAAAGTCCGTGAGTATACTATTCCCCACCGCATTCGCTTCTAGTGACTCTCGTGCGCAGACCGCAGATCAACAGGGGTTGGTCAGATAAGTGAAGAACAACAATGTTACTCTTAGTAACCGATCGTGTGGGGAGATTGCGATAAGGAGGAATAGGTGGACAAGTCCAAGTTCAACGAGACTTCACACGTAGGCTCCTGTAGAGTATTTTTTTTTATTCCAAAAGAGGAGAGAGTTGGCAATAATAAGCTGCAAATGGCTGGCTAGTCACAAATAAACAGGTGCTACTCGTGGAGGGAGGCGCGATTGCGTTTCGTTATCTGGTGGAGTAGGGGACCAGCGATCTACCAACACCAATTAAAAAAGCATTCAGAAGTGACGAGTGAGAGGCGCCAGGGAAGAAGAAGGGGCTTTAGAACATTTTGCAAGATCCTCTAAGTACTTACCTTTGAGATCAGAGTAGGAGCTGAAGCAACTCGGTGAAAGCAAGTAAATTCCTGTCTCCAAAATGAAGACCAGATGACAATTTGGCTTTGTTCAAATGGAACAGTCACGTAGGCTGCCAAGCTGGACCAGCAGCTCCTTGTCTACTATCCAATGGATTTGCCAACTCTAATACGGAGGCCTAAAAGATAGGGGGAGGAAAGAAGAGAAAGAGAAGAAGAAATAAGTCAGGTTAGATAACAGGAGGAAGATTATTGTCACAGCAGTAGTCCACTTGACATGGTACCACTCCATGGTATTAAACCTCCTTGAGCACTTGTGTCGTGAACCGAGGATGGGTACCTGGGTTTCTCCGCAACGCGCCCCAGCGGTACTACGTAGACTAGATGCACTCTACTTCAATCTGAAGGATCTGAGGAAATCAATCATGAATAATTCCTAAAATTCTCTCATTTCCCTGTAGGAAGGTTTGTTCAAAGACATCTACTTCAATAACAGCGCAGCGAAGAAGATT